GGTTTTTGAAGATGGGGCTTTCTTGTTACATTTAATTTTATCCAATACATGTTTCTGCTAATGCGTAACTTTTTTTTCCTCATGCTATTGTGCTTTACATATTTTTCATTAAATTTAAAGATTACTTCCAGCTGCACCAAAGACATTACACACAGATGTTTGTGGCTTTAAATGGCAGCATGCTAATCATTTTTCTACACTCAACGTTAGAGATAAGTTATTATATTTTATTGAATTTGCATTTTAGATTCTGTTTTTTTAGTGCTAACCACACAAATACTACTTATCTTTGCTATTATGTGGTACCACTATGGATTCACAAGAACATTTTGCTGCGCTGCAATGTTTGACACCTCCTACAGCTGCTGCAGAGGCCAACAGACTGTCACTTCAAATGCTTGGTAGTGTTTTTGAAGAATGCATGTTTCTTTTCCTCTTAACAAGAGTGATGTGAAGAGGGTTTAGTGCAAAATAAAAAATGCCACAATCGCCATATTTCTGTAAAATATATCTATTGCTTTTACAAATCACTTAATATCAAATTATAACTATTTTTGGAGCCTTTTCACCTCCCAGTCATGTAGTAATAAGCCAGTACCATATTTTTAACCTGTCGTTAAAACATTTGTCATAATACTTTAAACTTAAGGTTTTGCTTTTTAATCCCTGGCAGGAACTCCGGAGTTCATGGCCCCAGAGATGTACGAGGAAAAGTATGACGAAGCAGTGGACGTCTACGCCTTGGGAATGTGCATCCTGGAGATGGCCACTTCTGAGTACCCGTACTATGAGTGCCAAAACGCAGCACAGATCTACCGCAAAGTCACCAGTGTAAGTAACAGGAAAGAGCAGGGTCGCGTCATGTCCCTCCCATGTATTTAACATAATTGTCCACATGTATTCGTCATCTACGCGCTGGAATTGGGAAGAACGGAACCAAGACTTCTTTAGCTGTAATGCTTGACATCCTGGATATTTGGATTGCAAGGAATGCAAGTCTTTGTCATGGCGGTACAAAAAATGTTTGTACAGAACACTACCATCAAATGACAGGACATTTTTTGTCTTCCAGCCTATGATTAGGGTGCAGCCATGTTCATGTTTTACTCATTAACTCTCTGTGTAAAGCTCCTGTTTAACTGGTATTCCTGCTTGTAGCTTTCAAAGAAACAAACCTTATGCAACAGCAATGTTTGAACAGAAAACTGACCTCTTGGCACCTTTATTTGTTAATTGTGGTCTAAATGTTTTGGAGTAAACAGCATCAAAACACAGATATTCAGTTTTAAAAAAGTTAATTATCCTGCACATTTTTAATGTTTTATAAATATTATATCTTTAAGAGACATTCAAAGTAGTTTTAGGTTGAACTTTCTTTGTAGATCCAATAGATCTAAGTAGGAGGAACTTCACATAGGTATCAGCATTACAGGGCATGAGAAGATTATCGCTGACATCTTTATGCGTTTATGCATCAGATGGTGGCAGAAGTCATTGCTCGCTCTTAATCAGATGTATAAAAGATTTACAGCATCTGGATTAAATCAAAGGACATAAACTTCCTCGGAAGAAAAAAAGGAATGGTGAGATTACAGTCCTCTGGGGTGCATCTTTTTCTCAACCACCAGGTTAGACCTATGACCTTTCAGTCTTTTAAACTGTGGTCTGTTTTATTCACTGATCCAGGTCACCAACCTTTCACTGATGTCCTAATTATTAAGAAGAACCTGTATATCCAATTAAACCTGTATTTTTTCCATGAATTCTGCAAGGATGTTGCATTCTATGGAGGATAAAAAGTGCCGAAATTAAATAAATAAATACAGCATTAAATAAATAAATAGATAAATGTGTCAATAATTAATTAAATGTGGAATTAAATAAATAAATACAGCGATAAACATTAAATGTGTAATTCATTAAATAAATAAGGAATTAAATATATAAATGTTTCATTAATTTAATAAAATACGTCTTCATTTTATTAAAAAAATATATATTATTATTTCAGTGTGCATTTAATTATTTCATGGTCCTGTGTCGCAGTGCATCGAAACCATTAAA